TCAGTTACTGTGTCCTTACTTTTATATATTCTCCTGCCTTTCAGCATTTTGTAGAAGATTTTCACATCAAATTGTCCTTGTTTGTTCTCCCTGTCAGCAGAAAAAAGCATGTGGGTGAATATTCTAAACTCATATGATAATAATTTGGCTCTTTTTTAGGAGGTGGAGGAGCCTTGAAAAAAAAAAATTCCCTATCAATGCTGTAAATGGAAACTTAAAGACCTGGAGATGGAGACTTAAATGAAAAACTGGCGTCTGCTTAAACTGGTAACTACACAAGGTCAAGGGCACAAACCTGGTCAGTGACCTACAATTTATTATTAATTGGCATTGCTCACCAAAAAAACACTCACTAAAGTCTGAGCAGGGCTTGAGGGATTTTAAGAGAGATGTTTCCCAGTGCAGAGTGTGGATGTGGTCACCCTGTTTTGGGTAATGGAGCTCAGTTTTACATGCTAGTTGTGCATTGGGCCAGTAAATGGCCACTAGCCCAAAGTTATTTATATTTATAGCTGGAGCCCGTGTCTGAAGATGACCAGAATACTTGTTTAATATGGAGGAATGGCATCCTGCTGCAGGGCATGCTGTCACATGTCCTGGCACCTTCCAGCCACTGGTTCTGGCTAAATAATTAAAACAAAACAAAACAAAACAAAAAACCCAGAACATTTGTAAATGGCTCCTTTGACTGTCACATCCAGAACACACACTAATGCTGGGTGAAGTGCTACCCTAACCCCTCTGCGGGTGTGATGGCTTTCCTAGCTCATTCATAGCACACAGCGTCTTGAAACTCACTGATAAAACCATAATACCACACCCCACAGTATACATAACTATGTCATATTAATAAATATTTGCAGAGTGCCACGACTTGGCACATAGCTTTAGAGATTTTTTTTTTTTTTTTTAAGTAAAGGAGCATGGCCCCCTGCTCCAGGAGAGTTTACACTTGGGTCCTGGTTCTGCATATGGTTAATGTTATCCTGAGTCATCCATGGAGGGTCTTCTCCTCTTGAGGGGGGGGATGGAAGAAGAAGAGAGGGTGAGGAGACACACGCACAGAAACAAATAATAAATGATGCTACTGGAGGCAGCTTGAGTGAGCCTGGGGCGTTGGTAATGGAATATGCCTTTTTTGCATCTATGTGGTTGGTTGACATCCAGTTGAGCTCCTCAGCACCTGAACGGTATCTCTGTCTCAACAGCAGTGTTATAGCTTGTGTAGCACGAGTCTGGTGAGGTCTGCAGCAGCATTAGGACCATTGCCCGGGGTTGCAGGACTCACTCCCTCTTGCTTCCGAGTTAGGTCTGAGGCCAGGGACAGGTGTACCTGCAGTCTGGGAGAAGGGAGGTCTCACCTCCGCTGCTGGCGGTTACTCTGAAGGCTGATGTCTCAACTCCGGAGTGAATCCTGCAAGGACTTGCTGGCAGATTTTCAGGAGGGTTTCAAGTTTTGGAGGTTACCACACCTGCTGCAACAGATGACAACAAAGCCTTATTTTCCAGCCTGATATGTTTCTGACATGTTAAAAAATTTCTTTATACCACCCCAAAGATATATCTAAAGACTAACAAGATGATTTTCCAAATGTTTAAGTCTAATAATTAGGTCAGCTAGGAAATGCAATCCAGAAAATATCATCCAACTGCCTCCACTTCTCAGAATGGATGGATACACCCATACCCTACGTAAAGACTGTGTCTTTGCAGGCTGCAGTGCCCAAGAGGGTTGTTTGCTCAACAACCACTTGCTTGCCACGGGGCTCAAATGTTTTTAAAAAACCCCAGCTCTCATTTATTTATTGTCACACTGGTGTGGCCAGTTCTCTTTTATGAGGAGGAACCCCCTGGAAAATGGTGAATCAGGTTGTCTTCTGATGATGAAAATGTTAAGAGCTTTGACCCACAGAAGCAGTAGGAATGACACCTGGTTGGGTGGGAGTGTTGGTCTGCTCGAGGGTGGGGAGGCTGCAGAGATACCTGGCCAGGCTGGAGCCACGGGCTGAGCCCGACTGGGGGAGTTTCACTGAGGGCAAATGCCGGGGGCTGCCCTTGGGCCACAACAACCCCCAGGGGGGCTACAGGCCTGGGGAGGAGTGGCTGGAGAGCTGCC